CCCAAGTAGACACTCTGCCACTCGGTCTCTCCAATGGGGAAAACGCCTCCAGAGCACCAGTGCCTGCCTCACTGTGCATGCCAGCCGATCTGGCCTGAAGGGTACCAGCACCCACTGGGTTAGGTCTGGCAATTCCTCATTGCTTCCAAACCGTCTCTCCCTCCTGCTGCCACTCAGTCCAATTTCTCAATTTTGTCTTTGATGCTCAGGGCTCCTAGATTGTCATATATAATTGATTCACTTGTTTTTTTGGGTCTTTATTGTAAGAAGGACCACAGGAAGTGTCTGACTACTCTACCATCTTGGCCCTGCCTCTCATTATTTCTCTTTTTTTTTAAACATTCTTTGCACCTGGCTTTTTTCACAATGTATCATGGATTTCATGCCACATCAGTTCAGAGATACCTTTCTTATTCTTTTTTAATATCTTTGTAGAAATTCATTGGGAGGATGTACCATAATTTCCTCAACCAATTTACTGTAAATGGGCATTAGGTTACTTCTAACACTTCACGTACAAATAATACTGCAATGAATAACCCTGTATAAATGTATTTTCATACTGTTGAAGGTGAATCTACAGGGTAAATTCCTCTAACTAGTAGGATTGCTGGGTCCATGTATATGCATATTTCTTTTTGTTAGATATTGTCAAGCTTCCCTCTATAATGGTTGCACGATTTCATACTGCCATCTGCAATGTATGGTAGTGTCTACTTCCCTCAACCTTGCCAAAAGTGTTTTGTCAACCATTTGACATATTGCCAATGTAATAGGTGACAATGATATATATCTAAGTGTAATTTTAATTTGCATTTATCTCAGTGGAAGGGAAGTTCAACATCTTTTCATACACTTAAGGGCCAATGTTATATCTTACTTTGTGAACTGTCCGTTCATGTATTTTGCCAATTTTTTCCTCCAATTTTAAAATTCTTTCTACGTTAGCAAAAATAAGTCTTCATATGTGATGTACGTTGCTAATATTTCCTGAAGGATATCATTTGTCTTCTGACTTTACTTCTAGTGTCAAATTTATCAATCTTTTCTTTTATGTATCTGGATTTTTAGCCGAATTCAGAAAGCCTTTCTCTATGCCCAGGTTATAGCGCAATTCACTTATATTCTGGTACACCTGTAGTTTCACTCTTTACATATAGATCTCTGATCAATTGGGATTTTTCTTGTGTATAGTATGAGGTATGTTCCAATAATATATTTTTCTAAATGGATATCTAGTTGCCCAACATCATTTATTAAAATGTCCAGCTTTACTCAAGTGGTTTGAGGTACTACCTTTATCATACTAAAACTACATATGTACTTGAGTGGATTTCCTAACTTCCTTATTGATTCCACTGGTGTATTTGTCTCTATATACCAGTACGACACAGTGTTTTACTTCTAAGGTTTCATGGCAGGTTTTAATGTCTGGTAGGGCTAGTACTGTTTTAGCTTTTTCTTTTCAGGTTTTTCCTGGATATTCTTTTCCATGTGAACTTCATAAACAGCTTGTTAGTATTTTTTTTAAATTGGTTTCTGTTAAATCTATAAATAAATTCAGGGATAAATGATAACCTAATTCTAATCTAAACATGTTTTTTGAGAAAAATCAAAAAAAAATTTTAACACAGATTTGGCATTAGACGCCACTAAGCTATCATCGTTAACTTCGTTGGATGAGATATTGATATTGTGGTATTTAAGAATCCATCTTTAGATTTAGAGAAATATAAAACATTTAGAGATAAAACATCGTATTAGGGATTAGCTCTGAAATAATTCAGTAGAAGAGAGAAAAAGGGAAGGAGGAAGTAAGTGGGTAATATAACTATTAAGTCTACCTTAAAACTCATTGCTGTCGAGTTAATTCCGACTCACAATGATCATATAAGTAAGAGCAGAACTGCTCCAAAGGGTTTCCAAGGCCGTAAATCTTTGCAGAAGCAGACTACCACATCTTTCTCCCAGGGAATGGCTGCTGGTTGGGACCACTGACCTTTCGGTTAGCAGCCGAATGCTTAACCATTGGGCCACGAGGGCTCCTATGTCTACCCTGACCTCCATTAAACAAAAATTACCAAACCTGTTGCCATGAAATTGATTCTGATTCATGGCAACCCCATGTGTGTCAGAGTAGAACTGTGCTCCATAGGGTTTTCAATGGCGGATATTTCAGAAGTAAATTGCCAGGACTTTTTTCCAAGACATCTCTGGATGGACTTGAACCTATAACCTTATGGGTAGCAGTAAGCGTTTAAACCATCTGCACCACCCAGGGGCCTTAATCCTACTCCTTCTTTAAAATTCAGCTCAAGCTTCCCATCTTTCCACAAACTGCATTCTTGTCGAATTATCTGCTACCCCTCCTCACTGAGCCCATCCCTGCAGAAGAATTATCTATCCTACCACAATGACATCAGACGTGGCTATGTGATTTGCCTGGCCAATGAAGCTTAGTGGAATTAAGTGTCACTTTCAAACAAGTTTTAGGAGCCACAGTGTGGTTCCATCATTGCTCTTTACGCCCCTCTGCCTTGACAATCCCACGACCCACAGAGAGCCTGCTCCTTCTGCCTGGATCCCAAAACCAATGAGCTGAGCTGCACCTGAACTGTAGCCATGAGACAATATGAGTGAGAAATGATCAACTGTTGTTATAAGTCATCAAATTATTGGGGTTTGTGTTACAAAATTACCTAGCCTATCCATTGAACCCACTGCCATTAAGGTGATTTTGACTCACAGTGACCCTAAAGGACAGAGTAGAACTGCCCCATAGTGTTTCCAAGGAGCACCTGGTGGATCCTACTGGCGATGTTTTCTGGTTAGTGGTTAGCAGCCTGAGCTCCTAACCACTGCACAACCAGGGCTTAAATCTCTATGAAGTCTATACAAATTATTTTAGGAAGAATTAGCCCATTTATTTTTAACTGTGCACTGGAAGAAAAGGCATCACACCATGAATATATGAAGAAATAGAGAAAAAGAGAGTGGTTTAGGAGGAAAAATATTATCCTAAATTCTGTTAAGTTTGAGAATAAACTTTTAATGTTTTGTAGGCAAGTAGAAATACAAATGAGACAGTGACAGAGAGAAAATAGGTCCATCGTAATATGTGATGGTCAAAATCATTAAAGTTCACAAGTTCTTTAAGAGTGTGACTATAGACAAAGAAAAACAGTCTATGAAACTAAGTCCTATGGACCACTATATTCTGAAAAAAAAGAAAGAAAGAAGAGAAAAATCCAAAAGTAGACATAAGAGACTAGAGAAGTCAGAATACTGTGGTGTCGAAGAAGAGAAAGGAAAACATGTCAAGAAATGCAACTGGATCCAGGCTTTCGATATCAATTTGAACCAGGTAATTTTAGTAATTTCCTCTGAACCAGTTACATGTATTAACATAGAGAAAGACAATACTATAACCACAGAAAAATAAAAAACCTAATCTAATTACACTGACTAGCTATAGCCAGGAACCAGGAGACAGACAGAGAGCTACACCACCGATGATGGCGAGGGGCGGTGGAAGAGAAACGGTCATAGTAAAGACTGGCAAGAGACAGTGTGGTGGGCTTCCCGGCCCATGCAGTGAGAAACCTGAGTGCCTTTGGACAAGAGGCTGGCCGGCGGAACAGGGTGCCTTCAGGCACTTGGCAGAGCTAGGTTTGCTGACCAAGGGAGCTAGAGCTGAGCGCCTTCGGGCCAGGCCTTACTGGCGGAGTAGGGTACCTATGGGTACTTATTGGCAGAGCTAAAAGAGCTCTGTAACACTTGCCTGAGCAGGGCGGAGGCCGAGGGCCAGAGGGACATGCCTGCAGGCACATCGGAAAACTGGCTGTATGGATAGAAGAAGTGTATCCTGAGCATTCCTGAACCTGAATTGTAACCTGTTACTCCCCTAATTAACCCCACAATGCTAAGGATTCTCTGTGAGTTTTATGTGGTCACTGCCATGAATTATCTAACCCAGCAGAGAAGCAAAGAGTGCTGTGGGAGGGACGGTTGGTGTCGGAACTGGTAGAGATGGTGGAGGGACGAGGCATGCCTGACCTCCGCCTCATACGAATCAGCCTTGGGCTGTTGATCTTGATTCTCCTTTGAAGCGAGAGTGGTGAGAAAAGAAACAATGTGCTTTATGAAATCCAAAAGCCAAAAAACATCTGTGCAGAAGGCATCTCTCACGACCCTCCCTTTGCAAACTGTGCCCCGACTTCACGGGCCTCCCCACACTTCCCCACACTGGGCACACACATCCCTCCCTAAGGCCTTCGCACCAGCGACAGCTCCCTCCATCTGAAATGCTCTTGCCCACGGGACCTAGAGTTCTGACTCCATCACCACTTTGTCTTTGGTCAGGTTACCTCCTCGCTGATTTCAAACACCAATTTCAAACTTGAGCCAGCCACCCTGTCACACTCGATACCCCAATCTCCAGCTCTGTTTTTCCCAGTTTCTCACTTTATAGCACTTGTCATCTTTTAGCACACCAGACCGTAATGCCTCCATCTACAGAGTGTACTGTTTGTTGCCTGTCTCCTTATACTCGAAGGTAAGCCCAGTGAGGGCAGGGGCTTCCAACTATTACATTTACTAATGTGTTCTGACTGTCTAGGACATTATCTGGCATATAGCATTTACTTTATTTGGTCCATAGGGTTTTATTGCCTATAATCTTTATGAAAGCAGACTGCCAGACTTTTCTTTTGTGGTGCCACTAAATGAGTATGAACCACCAACCTCTAGGTTAATAGTAAAGCACAAAGTGTTTGCACCACCCAGGAACCTTTGGCATATAGAAAACCAAAAAAGCATTGCCCATTGAGTCAACTGTGACTCACAGCAACCCTACAGGACAGACTAGAGCTGCCCCACTGGGTTTCCAAGGCTGTAAATCTTGATGGAAGCAGACTGCCACATCTTTCTCGCATGGAGAGTCTGGTGGGTTTGAACTGCCGACCTTTCGGTTAGCAGATGAGTGCTTAACCACTGCGCAACCAGGGCTCCTTTGACACATAATAGCTGCCCAACACATACCTACTGAATTAATGAAGGAAAAGAAAAGAGCACATCCTCACCCAATGAGAGCAGATTCCTGTAAATCTCCAGCATCACTTCTTTGTATAGGTGCTTCTGCTCAGAGCTCAGTCTCTTCCATTCTGCCTCCGTGAAGACCACAGTGACATCCTCGAATGTAACTGGTTCCTAGAATAAGCAATAAATCAATGCACAGCAAACCACCATCAATTTTCCCAATGAGAGGAGTTTAACTAGTGGCCCTCAAGAGTCTGGATCTGACGAAGTTCATCTAAGTCTTTTCAGAGAACACAGGTCCCCACATCAAGTTCTTCTGACACGACTGTATACCTGGCTTTGTGATAAAATCTGTGGGGGGCATAAGTGATGCAAAAAACCCATCCTGGCCCTCAAACAAGTATGACTTGAATGGGGAAATGCTTTGTGAATCAATTTGAAAGTATTAAGCAGTATTCAAGAAAGTTACTTTCAGAATTCATAATGGAGGAATTCAAAGATGGGAGAGTACAGGATGGGCTAGAAAAGAACAAAAGGCGTCATGGAGGTGAGGCATTGAGGGACAGTGAAGATTTAAAGGAGAAGATGGATGGAAACTTCACCTACAGAGAAAAGTGGGAGTGAACAGATGAGGCCTGGAGGGAGCATTTCTGCAGAGTTCAGGAACTAAATGGGATCTGTAAAATCACTATCTTTGTGCATGTATTTTAATAACCTTTTCTAATAAAGTGCTTAACACTTCACTCATCATGCAGAGTAGCAGCTCATCTATGCAAAACAGATGGCAAGAGAATGGCAGTAATATTCCAGAAAAAGGACGTTTACAGATAACTTAATCTTTAAAAAAAAACACTTTAAGCCATTGCCATTGATAGTCTAGGGACCCTACAGGACAGAGTACAAGTGCCCCATAGCGTTTCCAAAGCTGTGATCTTTATGAAAGCAGGCCACCACATCTTTCTTATCTGGAGGGGCTGCTGGATTCAAACATTTGGTTAGCAGGTGAGTGCTTAATCACAGCGCCATCAGGGCTCGTACATTTTACTGAGGTATAATTTATAACCCATTTGCTTTATAATTTACCCACTTTAAATACAGGAACTCTGCACTTTGTACAATTTCTATATGCGTGGATTTCAGTTACCATGATTTAGTTAAATAACCATTAAAAAAACCCAAACCATTCCATTGACTCAATTCCGACTCATAGCGACCCTATAGGGTTATAAACATCCCTAGTCTCCCCCAAAATGGTTTAAATTTCAGTTGCTCTGGTATCTTAACTGTGAGTAACTGCATAAAGTACAAACTTTCTGCTAGCTCTTTAGTTCATAGATCCCTTCACCAATATAGATGCACGTAAGGATCAGTATAAGGAATCATATCACTTCTTTTAAAGTCCAGCTGACCTCAGGGGAGGGAGGGGGGCTGATGCAATCAATCACGACAAAGTAACATAGTCAAGAAAAGCTCTTGACACAGAAGCTGCATGGGCTTCCTGGTTGGTGACAGACATCCATGCATGTGGGATGGCAGCACATCCCTTTTTGGGACATGGAAGGTCTGCACTGGGAACCTTCCCAGACCTTGCCCTATGCACCTCTTTATTTGTATCTTTTTCTGCTATAACAAAGCTGTAATCATAAATACAGCCTTTTTGTGAGTTCTGTGAGGTATTACAGTGAATTATCAGACCCAAAGAGTAGTGGGAGCCAACAGTTCAGAAGTGAGGGAGCCCAAGGGGGGCTCCCAAGCCTGCAGCTGGCATCCTGAACAGGTAGAGGAAAACCTCAATTTGTAGCCAATACATCAGAAGTGAGGGTGTTGTGTGGACTCTCAAACTTGTGTCTAGAATTTGCCTATCTGGCAGTGTGAAGAACAGTATCCTTTTAACTTGTGAGACTGACCCAGCTCCTGGTGGCCAGGGTCAGAGAAGGAAGTGCTGTCTGGGCAGCTCGTATCAGAATGAACAGAGAAGGGGAAAGTGGATATTCTGGTATTTTACATTTTAAGATTGACCAACACACTATCATATTCCTGTAAATAAGACTGGTCACTAGAATGAGTGCTGAAGCTACAGGATGGTATCTGAGAATCTGTTTTTACTATGTTCTCCATTTCTGTACGTTTAAAAAGCTCAATAATTAAAAAGTAAAAACATGACCATTATACAAGATGCTATCATTAGATAGTATGCATGTGGATGTGAAATGAAATTTAGTATTACATTTTAAAATTTTACTAATCTCAATTTATCAAAAATATTCCTTATGCCTTATAGTTTCCTAGATTCTTAATATTAATCTTGAGTATATTTTCCAACAAGAAAAATAAAATGCAGAAAACATTCTAAAATACCTAACAGGGTACCTGACATGAAGACATGAAAGGTAAATGTTGATGGCCTTCCCCTTCCCAAGACAGGGAACATAAACCTATTCTCTTCCATAGAAGCCAGTATTTCAGAAAAAGAACGCAATTCCAACTAACCAGCATTGTGGGCTTCCTCTTCTCTTGGGGCCAGTCAGTATCCTTAGAAGACAAACCTAAGGGAGAAAGAGAAGTTGTGAGAAAGCAGACTTCCCAGAATGCTCCCAGAGTAGCTCTTCTGAGCCCTGGGATGGAAGGAAGTAGCCACTTCACTCAGCTGTGGCCTCTAAAGCACTCTCACCTGAACCTGGAGCCTTGGTCCCCCCTTCACCTCTCTACACGCTCCACAACTCTCACCTTTAGCCTCATGTTTTGGAGTCAATTTCTTCATGTTCTCCGTATCTTCCCTGTTCTTTGCAGCCAAAATCTTCTCCCAGTCCCGCTCTCTGCGGGCTGAAGGATCAGGCAACGTAATGGCCCCAGAGTCAGTCCAATGACTGCCCTGAAATTCTGCCACAGGGCCAGTCGGAAGTTATTTCACCTCAAGATGGACTTCTGCTGCCTGGGGGACTGCTTCAAACCTCAATTATGAAAGCCCTCTTGTCTCCATGCATCCAGGACCTGTGGGTGGAGAAGCAACTTTATGCTGCTGGATCCTTCCCTGTGAGCTAAACCCATGCCTTCTCAGCAGGGGTCCTGTCCTCTCTCACCCTCCTCACTCAGCAATCATGGAGTCTCAGTCTACTAAGCTCCTCTGGATTTTCTACCTTTATTCATTTCTGGCCTACAAGCCCTTAAGTCTGCTCCCTGACCCTCTCCCTCACCTGTCAAAACTTACTGCAACCCTCTTGCCCCCACACTTCAGATTCAAGCTCCATTTTCCAGATCAGTTTCTGCTACCTGAGTCAGGGAGAAGACGGAATACAGCCTAAAGTCTGTGGAGACAGAGCCTCTAACGTCTCCCTCCAGAACCATCAGGGCATGCGGCAGTCAGCTTCAGACTCCCCTAGCCAAGTTCCCAGCTGTGTTCAACTCCCCATGTCCCTGTACTCTGAGGAGTTTGGGGGTCTGAACTGAGTCCCTCCAGGCCTCACAATGACTTCTGCAAAAATAACACCCCACCTTCCATTCTGTGTGTGTATGCCACATGACCCTGTCAGTCAAAGTCCTCCACTCATGTTGTCCAGAGGAGGCAGATGGTGTTGGGAGCTATGGCACCTTTAGAAGCTCCTCAGACTCCCTGGCCAGGACCTTAGCCCACATGCCTACAGTCCTACTGCTGCCTTGTTGCTGTAGTTAGCCGCCGTTAGGTCGACTCCTACTCACGGTGACCTCATGTGTGCAAACTAGAACTGCTCCATAAGGCTTCCAAGGCTGTGACCCTTTGGAAGGAGATTGCCAGGCCTATCTTCCGAGGTGCCTCTGGGTGGGTATGAACTGTCAACCTTTCAGCTAGCAGTAGAGAGCTTAACTGTCTGCGCTACCCAGAGACTCCTTACTGCTGCCTAGTACCCTCTAAGGCTAGCTGGGGTTCCCCTAAGATGCTCTCCTGACTCATCCCCCAACACAGAGGCACAGCTGCTCACTCCCTCTTCTATCCAACCTACATGTCACCTTAGTAAAACCATATTGTAATTTTTACTTGAATGACTGTTTTTACTAGAATGCGAGCTTCCTGTAAGAAATACATCTCTGTCATTTTGCTAATCCTAGGCCTTTGTGGCACATTTTATCATTTTCGTCTACTATCTGCTTCTCTATAAAAAGATTATACTTCTCTGCCCCTGACATCTAGTGGCTCAGTTGTTAAGTGCTCAGTTGGTATCCAAAAGGTTGGCAGTTCGAATCCACCAGCCACTCCGTGGAAACCTTATGAGGCAGTTTTACTCTGTCCGATAGTGTCCCCATGAGTTGGAATCCACTCATTGGCAATGGGTTTGGGTTTGGTTTGTTTCCTGACATCAGACTTGACCTTGTGACTCGCCTTGGGCAACGCATGTGAGTGAAAGTATAGGTGTGATTTCTAAGCCTTGCAGGACTCCACCACCTCTCTTGTCCTTTTTCCTCTGCCATGAGAGCAACAGCTTCCCAAAAGGAGCTCTCCTTCAGTCTTGGTTCTGCCAAGGTGTTTTTCCAGAGAACCAAGGCAAAAGGCCACACGACGGAACTCATTTCACTACAGACAGAGAAAACATTAAGGCTGACTGTCTCAGGACTAAAAAGGCAACATGTCTACAGACGGACGTTTTAAAATTGTATCAGTTCAACTTTGTGATTTAAAGCATCTGGAAGAAATGAGTAATTTCCTAGGAGAATCCAAATTATCTAAAATAGACTCAAACAACAGGGAAGGAAAAAATATATATATTATTAGCCAAAGAAGAAAATGAAAAGGCAGTCAAAGATCCACTCTCCAAAAGGCATCGCCTCAGACAATATTATCAGCCAGTTTCAGCAAAGTTTTGGGGAATAGGTAATGCCTGTATTAAATATTAAGTTCCCCAAAGCATTAACTAAAGGGTCAGTGAAAGAGAGGAAGACCCTCAATGAGATGGATTGACACGTGGCTGCAACAATGGGCTCAAGCATAGCAATGACCGTGAGTATGGCGCAGAACCGGGCAGCGTTTCCTTCTGTTGTACCTAGGGTCCTATGGATTAGAACTGACTTGATGGCACCTAATAACAATAACAAAGCATTAAAAAAAAAAAGAAAAGAAGAAAGAAATGGTCCCTAAGTCATTCATCAAGGACACCAAAAGCAAACAAGAACACGACAGAAAAAGAAAACAAGAGGTCAATTCCACTTAGAAACACAGATCAAAAGTTCTAAATAACCACTAGTAAACTGAATGCAGCTGTACCTTCCAAAATTATAGTACATCATGACCAAGCATATTTTATTACAACAATGACAGAGGAGTTTGATATCATCAGAAAATCTACTATGGGAGTGATGTAGGAGGTAAAATTGGAGCCATTATTCCTGTCCTTGAGTATAAGGAATGAAACCCAGCTGGAGCGACAAAGACTCACAAGGACACATCAGCTGGGCCCTGAGGTACAAAAACAATAGCTAGAACAATCTGGAAACCATCTTTTAGGGAACTTTTCACAGAGAAATCTTAGAGCACAAACGACCCATATATTTTCCACTCCTATCTTTTTTATTAGCATTTAATAAATAGTAAGATTTGTTGGAACAATGAAGACCCTCCTGTCATTACTGAAATCTGTACCAATGATTATTAAGAAAGACAATTCAAAATGTAGAATCACGGTAACTTGGGCAGTTTTTAGCCAATCTTGAAAATGTGAAACTTTTAATGATTTTGCCCATTTGTAATGTTAATATATACTACCAGTCTCAGAAAATGTGAAACTTTTAATGATTTTACCCATTTGTAATATTTATACTAATGATTCTATAACATTCCTTGGACTCGGGCAGACATGGCTCTGGCAGCATGCTTGTCTATTTCCACTTTTGCCTCTTGGAACATACACTGAATACAAGCTTTCTTCTTGGTTTACTACAACTTTGTGGTGATTTTACCCTAGGACAGAAAGGAGGAACCTCCATTCTTCTAGAAAACTGGTCATTTAGAAACATTTATCTGAGAAAATCTTCTTGTGAAACTAGGTCGAGGAGCACTCTAACTGAGGGACCTGGCATTAACTGAAATGGCTCACACAGGTCTCGATCAGACTCCATTTTGTTTTTGTTTCTGCTCTCTTCTGAATACATGACCTATAACTTCTATAACAAAAAAAAATTTTAAAGCAGACAGGAAAGAGAACAAACTGTGGTGAAGCTAAAATATGTACACAGATACACTTGTGGTTAGAAAGATATGCTTGTGGTTTTCCTGTATAAAAAACATTCCTCTCCTTCCGAACATGGGAGCACACTGTAATTTTACACTATGCTGCCCAGCTAAGGCTGTTCTATTCCTCAATAAAACTTCTTGATTACTCCTAACAAACTACCAGACTTTCTCCATTGACAACTGTGATCCAATTACTTACATTTTGCCCTATTTGCTTCATCACATATCTAACCATTCACGTAGGGGGGCATATAGACATTCAGTGTAACACATCTTTCAATTTTCTGTAAGTATGAACAGCGTCTTAAGAAAACATTGGAAGGAAATACGGTTTAAAGAGATTTAAATATTTATAAAATATATAACTCTAAAACAGTAACTTTTATCTGTTTATTGTTATTCCCCAGATAAATGAACTGTTTTATTTTCATGCCAGTGTACATCATTCTCTCTCTCACTACAGTATAAAACACTTCATGGATGAAATACCATCTGTGGCTATAAAGTATAATATGAACTCTGCAGAAAATAAACACTGTAAGCACAACTTGCGTCAAAAAATTCTATATGACAACATGCCATGGATGTGATCTTCTATTAAACCCAAAACCAAACCCACTGTTGTCGAGTCGATTCCAACTCATAGCAACTGTCTTAGTCATCTAGTGCTGCTGTAACAGAAATACCACAAGAGGATGGCTTTAACAAACAGAAATTTATTCTCTCACAGTCGAGGAGGCTAGAAATCCAAACTCAGGGCACCAGCTGCAGGGGAGGCTCTCTCTCTCTGCCAGTTCTGGGGGAAGGTCCTTGTCATCATCCTCCTTTGGATAAGGAGCTTCTGAGTGCAGGGAACCCGGGTGCAAAGGACAGGCTTCGTTCCTGATGCTTCTTTCCTGGTGGTATGAGGTCCCTCCTCCTCTCTCCTTTTATCTCTTGTAAGATAAAAGGTGATGCAGGCCACATCCCTGTGAAACTCCCCTTACACTGGATCAGGGCTCTGACCTGAGTAAGGATGTTGTATCCCAGCCATCCTCTTTAACGTAACTTAACCTTGTCTCATTAACCACAGGTAGAGATTAGGATTTACAACACATAGGATAATCACATCAGATAACAAAATGGTGGACAACGAGACAATACTGGGAATCATAGTCACGGCAAGTTGAAACACATTTTGGGGGACACAATTAAATCCATAACAGCGACCCTGTATTCGTTTCATTTCATTATAAGAGACTAAGAGATGGCGAAGGACATATTTCATATATACACATCCAGATAAATCTCACTTTCCCCTTTTGTTTGCCAAATCCACTGTGAAAAATCTATCTCCTTATGAAAATGGAAATATTTCAAGTACATGACCTTCTGTAAGCTACTATGGAATTACAGAAAACTTTTGATAGGAACATTCTCTAAATTCTTGGTTAGTATTTTATCTCAAGAGTTTCCAGGTATATCATTTATTTGGTCCCAATATCATTAACATAGATGTTTTAAAGTGCACTGTCCCCAAATAAGCAGGTAAAAGATCGTAACTCAACTAGGTAATTGGGGAGAGTTTAGTAAAGGGACTATCTACAAAGGTGTGGGCAGGATTATGGAAAATAGAAAGGATGTTGATGTACCACAGGAGCTTAGGAAAGCATAGTCTTTACCAACCCTAGCTCTAAAGGTGGTGTGGGCAGTTAGCAGACTCAGGAGACAGAACTATGTAGAGAGGGTTGCTTGACAGCAGTTTGGGCCTTCAGCAGAGTTACACAATGAACTGGGATGACCCATTACAGAGGGAGCCAGGAGAATAAATACATAAAAACAGCAGAGGACAGAACTCAGTAAAGGTAAAAAGCCATCTGAACTAAATCTCCTTCTAACGCTAATGAGTAATTGTTATGGACTGAATTATGTCCCCCCAAAATATGTGCTGAAGTCCTAACCCCTATACCTGGACATGTAGTCTAATGCAATTAATTACCTCACATGTAAGATAATGCAATCACCTTCCAAGGCATTTTAATGCAAAGTAATCAATCAGTCAGTTGAGGTCATGTCATAGTAGAGTGTGTCCTAAACCTAATAACCTGAGTTATTAAAAAAAAATACAGACCAAGACACACACCTGCTGGGAAGATGATGCCATGTGAGGATCACCTACAAGCCAAGGCCCAGGAAACACCTGGGACTAACTAAAGGAAGGAACCGTCACCGTTAACCACTGAGTTCGGGCAGAGTCAGTGGTAGGCAATAAGAAATGGCCCTGTTTAGGAAGTGAGTGGCATCATCATTTTTACCTCAGAGGAACAACTCAAAAGGCAGGGTGAGGGGAAGTGAAAATGTGGAGAAGCGATGACAACCTGGGTAGCAAAGGGGCATAGATGAAGGGAGGGGAAGAACGGAGGGGTTTACCTGTCAAGGTGGAATTCAGAGGACGCAATAGCTAATGAGATGGATGGGAAATCGGAAAGAATAAGGAAGGGGAAGGGAGAATTCACCCTGCTGAATTCCAGATGCTCCTACCACTCATGCTTCTTACTGTAGATAGGGTGTAGGGTTTGAACTGAATCAAAGACATTTTTACGACAAGTGGAAAAAACTCAAAACCAACTGGGTATTAAGGCATTAAGGAATTACTGTTAAATTTGTTGACTACAGTAACAGTATTGTTGTATTTTCAAAAAACAATCCTTATCTGTCGGAAATGCATACTGTAGTATTTACAGGTGAAATGGTATGATGTCTGGAATTTGCTTCCAAATACTCTAGCAGGGAAAACGAAATGCGGGTTGGAGAGTATTGGATGAAATAGGAATAGCAGAACGTGCATAACTGATGAAACTCCCAATCCTGATCCGGGCCATGTTACACATATTAACCTCTGTAATGTGCTACTACTTCTGTAAAATGGGAATTTTGATAACCAACTTTCAAACTGGCTGAGGGAATCAAATATCGCAGTGATTGTAAAGTCCAGCGTCTGGCACAGAACAACTACTTACTAAATGGCAGCAACTATTACTTTCGTTTTCACAGCAGCTGGCACAGTCCTGGGAATCCACCTGCCAGGATGAAATGCCGCTGGGACAGAATGGTGGGAACCTGAATTTAGTAACACTTACAAAACATACCAGAAACACTTCCAGGTCTTGTGATAAACTGAGCACAGAGAGGGCATATATCTTGCTCAGGGTGACAAAACTAAAGTGCGTAGATTTGAACTCTAGCTGTGGAGTGCCACATTTTTAGCCAGGCAGGTCAGTGATAATGTCAGTAGTGACCGGTCCCGTGGGGTGCAACACCTCTCAGAGGGGATCCACACAGGGTTGAGAGGATGTAGATGAAATAAGATTGGCCACGAATCAATAAATGCTGAATCTGTTGATGTGTTCATGGGTTTCACTGTACTATTCTAAGGATCAGTTCTCAATTTTTTCCTTAATAAAATACTAAAAACGAAAGTCCTGATACCTGGACCCCATCAGAGATGCTGGAAGCCATCTGGACAGTCAGCCAACAGCCCTCAGAGGTTCCCGCCCTACCTAACCCCGCCACAGCCACAAACCAGAGGTGGCCAGCTGAGCCCCAACACTCCAGGCAGAAACAGGAAGACGGGAAATCAGCCAAATGGCCACCCACCCTACAACAACTAAGAGATTTTTGTCACAAGGTTGAGCGGATCCCTGCCACCCAGCAGTCACACAGACTGCAGGTCCCTGAGAAGCCGACCTGCCCTTCACTCAGAAAAGAACTGCCTAGATGCAGGCCCCCACGGTGCAGTTTCCCACCACCAGACAACGTTTCGTTGTCGGTCTCAGGCCAAAATCTCCCCCAGGGACTCCAGACCCGATAAAACGCTCCCACGACTTCCTAGGGATACCATACCAATATCAAGCTCACCTCCGATCACCTGCACCCCCGCAACACATCAAAGCACAGCAGGTCCTGAGACACCACCAACCCCCCACCCTCCACTCAACTACCACCTGGGACGGCCCAGCCCCCACCGAAAACTCACAAACCTTGCCACGCACGGCAAGTCCTGGATTCCCACCATGACCCGGAAATGCAGGACCAAGTAAGCGCTCCCCACCGAATAGCCCCGGGGTTTTATACCCCTCGACGCGCCCCCTCCATCAGGGATGTTCGTCTCTTTGCCCCTGGCTGCACTCCTGCCCACAGCCCGAACAACCCCGAGAATGCACCACCGGAGCAGCCCTCTCTTTTCGGGAATTGTTTGTCCCAGACTAATCCCACCCCCTTCAAAAAGGAAATTCGAAATTCCAGGTCTCTCTCGCCCCAGCGCCAACCCGGAGACGGACGGTCCGCGGAGCGCCCTACAACTCAAGGAGTCAAGGCTGGGTCTTCCGTGCGCAACTTCCGTGCCCCAAATGCGCGTCTTCAGCCGCGCCCCCTTCTCCAAAAATGGAGCATCCGGAATCATAGGCGCTGAACCTCCAGGGCGCAGCCCCCGCCCGCCGCCGGGCCCTCTCCTCTGCCCGCCGAGCTCCACCTTGGGCCCTAACGCTAGGCCCCAGCTTTCCTGACCCTCCTTACCGCGGGGAAAAGACGCTCGGGGCTCAAGGACCCGTGAGAGCCTCGCTCGCTCCGTGCAGTCACCGGCCGCGCAACTCCGCCAGAACTACAGTTCCCAGAATCCTCGCGGCCTGCGGCTCTCATTGGCCGTCCCAAGAGCGGCTTCTGAGCCACGCGGGTCGTGGACTCTGATAACAGCCACTGGGCAGAGCCTCTCCTCTTTTTAAAACTACCCGGTCATCACACCGGTACTGGTTCCTGCGTGAAGTCTCGGTCCCCGGTCGCCTCACACGCTGCACCTGGGAGAAGCCTCCGCGGCGGCTTTCGCTGACTCCCGACCCCGGCGCGCGAGATTACTTTCCGGTTGGCGCGCATGGCCCGCCCAGGGCGCTGACTGGAAAGCCGACTTTTGACCTAACTTTTTCTCCTGAAGCGGGGCTGAGCTCCCTGGGTTTAGGCCCCATAACATACACCCCACCATCCGTGAGCGCCATCTAGGCCTGGCCTCGTGCTGCCCGCGCGCCCCTGTAGTCAGCCTCGTTTTCCTTACGGGAAAACAGACTGGGAAAGCAAAGCAGGCTCCCAAAGCCTCAGTGGAGCCCTTACCGTCAACTCCAGCGCTTTCCTTTGTGGTCATTTTTCTCAGGGTAAATTTTATTATCTGTGGATTATGCCACAATAAAGCTTTTATTTAAAAAATAAGATTAATTAGATCCCATATCCCTCCCGTACTCCTACAGAAGATTCATTTTCACCATCTGGAAAAGCTGAAGATGTGAGTGTCCCACCCAGGAAAGGTCGTTCTCTCCACCCCAAATTGTGCACTTGGATATCTGGACATTCTACTTTATGAGTGGTATCTTGCTAGGAAGAGTGAGCTGTAGCAGCAGGTAGAACTCACAACAACCAGGGTAAGCTGTTACTTCTACACTGTTAGGGATTTCCTGCTCTGGACTCCGCTACAACCCCACTAGGTTATCTGCAAACTGTGGACCATGACTGATTACACACAGCAGCTGGGGTCGGTGCTGCTCTGTGGCACGTAGGAGTAGAAGCTATTCCCTTCATCACCTCAAATGGGACAGAGAGAAAAGAGCAGAGGCCAGAGCTGGAGCAGCCAACAGGGTGGGTGTGACTGTTAGGGGACCTTAAGATAAAACACCTAATTAGTACTCCACCCGTTATCAGGCCACTCCCAGTCACCTCCCCACTCCCAGTCACCTCCCCACCACGTCACTCACTTCCTCTAAGTTGTTTTGCAGACTCTCTGGAGAATTCCTGACCCATCTGGATCTAACGGGTTTAAGGAGGTCAGACATGCACAGAGCAGACAAGAGTGACTGACAGGCAACTTCGGACCCCCCACGCATCCTGAATAGCGTGGGAAAACTCAGGTCAAGGAACCAAAAGACTCATGTTGAGGAACTTAAATTACCGGGCATACATCATCTGCAGTAGCCAAGCCCATTTCAAAAGAGAAGAGTCCACTGGCCACTTCCGTGCCAAGTCTTAGCCCCGCCCCATAATAAATAATCAATACAGACTAAGAATATGTAGAACTTCCTGATCCTGCCCACCTGCTTCCTCCACCCTATATGAATATGTATAATTCCCCAAACCTAGAAAATGTAAATGATTCCTCAAATAGAGGAACTCAATCTGAGGTTGATACCTCTGAGTTCCCACTTGCTAGCCTGCGAAATATACTCTTCCTCTCAAAGCAGTGTCTGAGAGATTGGCTTCTTGCACACTGGGCACGGACCCATTGGTCCAGTTTCCTGACCTCCCTACCACCATGTGACCATACCTCAGTAAAGCAGTAACACCCAGTAAGGAGCTTTGCAGCAGGTGTATAGATGAACAGATGGAAAGGACATGGCCCAGTGTAGTGGTAAAGTGGGGCCAAAAGGTGCTACAGGCCTGAGCACTGAGCTGTGAGCAGAGTCAGAGGAGCAGGAATTCAGTGCAGGCGGTCAGGGTAACACAGATACCCCTCCTCACTCCTCACGGCTAGTTGTTGTTTTTAGGTGCCATTGAGTTGGTTCCAACTCATAGCGACCCTATGTACAACAGAATGAAACACTGCCCAGTCTGCGCCATCCTCAAAATTGTTGTTATGCTTAAGCCTATTGTTGTAGCCACTGTGCCAATCCATCTCATTCAGGGTCTTCCTCTTTTTCACTGACCCTCTGCTTTACCAAGCATGATGTCCTTCTCCAGGGACTGATCCTTCCTGACTACATGTCCAAAGTATGTGAGATGTAGTATCGGTATCCTTGCTTCTAAGGAGCATTGTGGTTATACTTTTTCCAAGACAGATTTGTTTGTTGTTTTGAGAGTCCATGGTATGTATATTCAATATTCTTCACCAACACCACAATTCAAAGATGTCAATTCTTCTCGGTCTTCCTTATTAATCGTCCAGCTTTCACATGCATATGAGGTGGTTGAAAACATCATGGCTTGGGTCAGGGGCACCTTATGCTTCAAGGTGACATCTTTGCTTTTCAACACTTTAAAGAGGTCTTTTACAGCCGATTTCCCCATTGCAATGCGTCTTTTGATGTCTTGACTGCTGCTTCCATGGGTGTTGATTGTGGATCCAAGGAAAATGAAATCCTTGACAACTTCAATCTTTTCCCCTTTATCATGATGTTGCTTATTGGTTCAATTGTGAGGATTTTTGTTTTCTTTATGTTGAGGCATAATCCATACTGAAGGCTGTGGTCTTTGATCTTCAGCAGTAAGTGCTTCAAGTCCTCTTCACATTCAGCAAGTAAGGTTGTGTCGTCTGCATAACACGGATTGTTAGAGTCTCCCTCCAATCCTGATGCTACATTCTTCTACATATAGTCCAGCTTCTCGGATTATTTGCTCAGCATACAGATTGAATAGGTATGGTGAAAGGATACAACCCTGACGCACACCTTTCCTGACTTTAAGCCACGCAGTATCCCCTTGTTCTGTTGGAACGACTGTCTCTTGATCTATGTACAGTTTCCTCATGAGCTCAATTAAGTGTTCTGGAATTCCCATTCTTTGCAATGGTATCCATAATTGGTTATGATCGACACAGTCAAGTGCCTTTGCAGTCAATAAAACACAGCTAAACATCTTTCTGGTATTCTCTGCTTTCAGCCAGGATCCATCTGACATCAGCAATGATATCCCTTGTTCCGCGTCCTCTCATGAATCTGGCTTGAATTTCTGGCAGTTCCCTGTTGATATACTGTACAGCTGCTTTTGAATGATCTTCAGCAAAATTTTACTTCTGTGTAATATTAATGATATTGTTCGATAATTTCCACATTCGGTGGCATCACCTTTCTTGGGTATAAGCATAAATATAGATCTCTTCCAGTCGATTGGCCAGGTAGCTGTCTTCCAAATTTCTTGGCATAGACGAGTGAGTACTTGCAGCGCTTCATCCGTTTGTTGAAACATCTCGGTATTCTCTCAATTCCTGGAGCCTTGTTTTTCTCCAGTGCCTTCAGTGAAGCTTGGACTTCTTCCTTCAGTACCTTGGTTCCTGCTCATGTAGTACCTCCTGAAATGGTTGAACATTGACCAATTCTTTTTGGTATACAGACTTTTGTGTATTCCTTCCATCTTCTTTTCAATTGTTTAATATTTTCCTCATAGAATCCTTCACTATTGCAACTCAAGGCTTGAATTTTTTCTTCAGTTCTTTCAGCCTGAGAAATGCAGAGCGTCTTCTTCCCTTTTGGTTTTCCATCAGGGCTTAAAGACACAATATCAAACTCAACCCCACAGGACCCTTGCAAAATTAGCAGCAGAATTACCTCCACAAAAGAGAGGAAGAGAGTTAAGGTTTTGACCTAAATTTCTGCTGAAGCGGAGCTGAGTTCCATGGGCTTAGGTTGCATAATATACGCCCCACCACGCGTGAGCGCCATATAGGCCTGGCCTTGCATTGCCCGTGCACCCTTGTGGTCAGCCTCATTTTCCTTACAGGGAAACAGACTGGGAAAGCAAAGCAGGTTCCCAAAGTCTCAGTTGAGCCCTTACGCTCAACTCCAGCGCTTTCCTCTGTAGTCATTTTCCTCTTATTGAAGTTCTCAAAGTTAGTAGCAAACTCTCACCCTGCTCATGGAAGAGAAGCCTCACTCACAGGTTGGAGACTGGCTCTTTGGCTTTTTTTCTAGAACTCTGATTGAGAACTGGGCTACACTGGTCCCTTCTGCAACACGCCATTTGGGGTTCTGCAAAGCAGGTGTAATTCAGTTTAGCTCATGGAAAGGGCGTTTAAATTGTAAGAGTGTCTTAGGCTGGGTTTTCTAGAGAACTAAAACTGGTAAAGCATATATATATATATATATATATATATATATATAGAGAGAGAGATTTATATCCAGGAAACAGCTCATGCAGTTGTAGAGGCTGGATCATCCCAAGTACGTGGGTCAGGATAAAGGCTTCTCCTGATTCACGTAGCTGCAAGGGCTGGCAAAACCAAGATTGGCAGCTTGGAGAGCAGAGCTGTTACTCACAGGCTGTGAAGATCAACAAATCCCAAGACTGGCAGGCAAGACTGCAGGTAAGCTGCTAGCTCAAGTTCCAAGAACTGACAGTCAGCAAACAGGAGCCAGCTGCAGGATCCAAAATGAGCAAAAGCCCACAAGCCTTACCAGAACCTCCAATTATTTGGATGCAGGCCACATGCCCAAGGAAACTCCTTTCATCTGATTGACTACTCACAGCAGATCCCATCATGGGGGTGATGACATACCAAATCTCAGCAGGGAAGGGATCACAACATTATACAACTGCCAAAACACTGAGAATCATGGCCCAGTCAAGCTGACACACAATCTTAACCACCACAGTCCACCCCTTGTCAATTTGGTACATGTACACATCTCCTTAAACCATACAGAATCTCTGAATAAAGACAGTTATAAAGTCATACTTGTGCCTAACATGATACAACCAACACACATACAACCAAAAATGCACTAGCCCTGTTTACATCTTATATTTTGTAAGTAAGGGAAACAAAAATATTTGATGCACTCATAAAAACAGAAAAGAGTCATAACAATTACAGTTCTTGTTTCTGCAACTGGTCACGTGGCCGTAACTGGTATTTAGAACTACCTTCTTCCACCACCCATTCCGTATTCCCTTTGCCCTCAGCAAGCACCTCAGCTGATCATGGTTCTTTGCCTGGAGGGTGACCCAAACCTTCATTCCTGAAAGGGCTGGGCCATTAGTAGTCATGTCGGAATTGGGTTGCTGTAGTTTTCCATTGACTTTAATCACAGGGCATGGTAGTACTGAGAGGCCCTAAGGGATCTCCTGCATTCCAGACATACTCTTCCTCACCTCCATTATGTAATATCAATCTGATTTCC